AGAGAGAGAGAGAGAGAGAGAGAGAGAGAGAGAGAGAGAGAGAGAGAGAGAGAGAGAGAGAGAGAGAGAGGATGAAAATTCACTGTTGGATCTGATAACAGCTCATACGATGCAGAGCACTCCTGCAGGGGGGAGCAATGTGCCGGTGCACCATACAAGCCAAAGCCAGGAACGCGAGGATGATGGGACATTGCCTCCACAACCAGATCCAAGGAGCACCAAAGGGGAGAAAATGGCGGTAACCTTTAATCCCTCAGTTCCTCAGGTGCGTAAATGAAGCTTTTCCTTTCTTTTCTTTTTTTTTTTTGTGTGTGTGTGTTGGGGGAGGGGGGGTGTTGGGGAGGTAAATTCAGGGTCTTAGTTTAATCATCTGATTCGATCTGGTTTTGAACTTCGGTCTTTTTATCAGCAATTCATGTGTGCACCGTTCAGCCACACTCTGGGTATGAACTTTGAAGTCTATTCTCTCTTGTCTGGGACTGTCTATTCTTGTGATGGAAGGGAAATCTTACTTGTGTTCTTTTCTTTTCTTTTTTCGCTTTTGTCTTGTCTTTTTTTTTTCCGTTTCTCTTTTTTCGCCATCAACATGTCCTTTTCTTTTTTTTTTTCTTTTTTCTTTTTTCTTTTCTGGGAAATCTCAAAGAGAGGCAAGCAGCGGCTGGAGGGTTCAGACCGCCAGCTCGGCCTGGAAGGAGAGGAAGGTCTCCTGGTTCAGGGAGAAAACAAGCAGCTGTCAAAGCTGCTGCATCTGCATCAGGTCTTGGAACTACTGTGGGCTCATATGGGCTCCCTGAAACGCGGACATATGTCCTTCCTGATTCACCCCCAGCCTCTTCATATGAACCAGATCCAATCGGTGCCCCGGTTGCCACCACTTTTTTGGCTATACTTTAATACTATTCTATTTATGAACAGGCTAGTTAAACAGGGTTCCATAAGTTTGGGTGGTCTGACTATAGCTTATCACCAACTGAAGAGAGTACTAATTAAGAATAAACTTGTGGTACGAAGGGGCAGATTGAATCTTGAGCTAAAGATGATTGGTTCAGTTATATGCTAGCCGACCCTCTTTCGTGAATCGACGACCTTCTCGAATGGCTGGGCGGCGCCCAATTCTTCTCCAAGCTTGACCTCAAATCGGGATATCACCAAATTGAGTTCCGGCGGGAAGATCGCGACAAGACCGCGTTTAAGACGCGATATGGGCATTTCGAATGGCTGGTTATGCCTTTTGGCCTTACAAATGCCCCAGCCACATTCCAAGCGGTAATGACAACGGAGTTCCGCCACATGCTGGACAGGTTCGTGCTCATCTACCTCGACGATATCTTGGTGTACATCCGGAGCTTGGACGAGCATGTGGACCACCTACGAACCGTTTTGGAGCGGTTACGACAAGTCAAGTCCGTTAATTAGCCATCATCATTCCGTTCGCTTGCACTTCAATTCACAAGCGTTTGGCATCCCTCATGCAATTTTTATCCCTTCCCTCCCACCCTTTTCAAGCAAGCAGATATATGTATGATTAATGCGAGTTCATAACATGCCTCAGAAAACTTGGAGCAAGGCGGTAGTTCTAACTTGTAACGGTATGTGTAACAAGAGATCACGTTGTCATGATCTCTGTACGGTTTTTCAGAGCTAATCAACTTGCCTGCTGGACTAGGGACAATTGAAAAAATGATGACCCAACCAGGGAAACATTTCCTCTTGGTTATACAAAATGTATGCAATCCATAACCTAAGAGATAAACAGGAATAGTAAGAAGTTAAAAAGACAGCTACCTGTTGGTGACGGGCCCTTACCAAGTGCTGAACCGGAATGGTAAATAAGGTTGGTAAACCGGAAGTGGTCGACAAGAATGGTAAACGGGAATCGTCGTAAGCAGGAACTTCCACCGATGGTGAAAAGGAATGGTGAACAGGAACTTTTACCGATGGTGAACAGGAATGGTAAAAACGAATGGTAAAAAAAGGAACTTCGACCAATGGTTAACAGGAATTATAAACAAGAACTACCACCAATGGTGAACAGTAATGGGAAACACAAATGGTAAACAGGAACTTTAACCAAGTGGTGAACAGGAGTGGTAATAAAGGGGCGGTCAACAGGAAATGTGGTGAACGAGAATGCCAGATGGTGGAAAATCCAATTGGTGGAGACATGATAGGCTTTTGCGTTGAGATGGCCTTTTGCCGTTCAAGCAAGCGCACAAAGACAGATGGATAAAACAGCGAAGACGATATAAAATCCCGGTTACCATACACGCCTGATGGTTTGTTGGAAAGGGGCTTAGAGGAGAGGCGGTTAACCGAGGCCTTAATTTTCAGACAACTTCTGATGCCATTTATAACAAAACCCAAGGGTTATTTTAACCAAACTTGCCAAAAAAAAAAAAAAAAAAAAAAAAAAAAACCCATAAAATTTGAACGCCAAACGGGCCAAACCCTAATTTCAGTTTTGGACCCGTTAGTCAGGAGCTGAAAGTGGGGGTCCCCGTTAACAACTTGTGAACAGCAGGACAAAAAAATTGCAACAAACGAGTTAGGTCAAGGACCTGATTGGCAAATAAGCAGAAATGAACGGGGCCTTTAACATCGCTAACAAAATTCATGGGCATTTAATCCAAACGAATGGACCAAATCCAAAACCACCAAGCCAGAAGGCAAATTTTATGGAAAGGTCCCATTGTTTGTAGGTGCTTGCTTGTTGAAACTTGAAAACACATTCGGTTGTGGATATGTATGTATCTATTTATCTATCTATGTATCTATGTATCTATCTATGTATCTATCTATCTGTGTATCTATCTATCTATCTATCCATCCATCCATTCATCCATCCCTCCATCCCTCCAATCAGGGTTCTTGTTCAAGGCCCCTATGGCACACAGCAGGCAGTTACTTGGCTCATCTTGCTCTTTAATCTTGTTTCATTGTGTCCCTTTGTTTTGGTTGCTACTCTCCTTTTGTGTTTTATGCTGTCCTTCTGCATTTTATGCTCAAGTGCCCATTTGCTCATGGGATGGTAAATGGCCGGCCGCCTTCGGTTGGGTTGCCCTTTTCCCATCAGGATTTGCGAAAATGTTTGGATCAGCAGCAGGAGTTGCGTGAAGACCTTCTAGAATTCAAGCAACAAACCACTGCAATCCTGTCCTCCTTGCAGGTAAAAACCTTCTCTTCTCTGTGTGATGAGAGTATGTTTGTAAACTTTGTATGCACTGTCAATTCTCTTCATTTGTTTGTTT